TAATAATAGCTACCAAGCTTCAATTGAAATGGCTCCGTATGAAGCTTTGTATGGACGTCGATGTAGATCTCCCGTGCATTGGGATGAGGTTGGAGAAAGAAAGTTGCTTGGGACCAAAGTTGGTACAATAAACGACCGAAACGAGTAGATAAAATCCGTCAACGACTAAAAATAGCTCAAAGTAGACGGAAAAGCTACGCCGACAAGAGACGAAGAGATCTAGAATTCGAAATCGATGACTATGTGTTCCTAAGAGTTTCACCGATGAAAGGTGTGCTACGATTCGAAAAGAAAGGAAAGCCGAGTCCCCAATACATTGGGCCATTTTAGATATCGAATCGAGTAGGCGATAAAGCATATCGCCTATTGCTACCATCATCCTTAGCGGGTGTGCATAATGTGTTCCATGTTTCTATGCTAAGGAAGTGCATTGGAGAACCTAGCCAAATCTTGGAGACGAGTTATACCAAACCTTACCCTTGATTTGACATATAAAGAAAAACCAGATCCGGATTTTGGATAGTCAAGTCAAACAAGTTGAAGAATAAGGAGATTAGGCTAGTTAAAGTTATGTGAGAGAATCACGATCGCGAAGAAATGACGTGGGAGCTGGAGGAAGAGATGAGAAAAAAATACCCGATATTATTCGAATAGGTCAATTTCGAGGACGAAATTTCTTTTAAGGATGGGAGAAATGTAACTCTTGTAAAATCCATAATCGTATAAGTGTATGTATCAAGATATTTATATTCGTACGTATATATATAGTATATTGGTTACGTACATGAAAATTTGTAACCAGTGTCAACATATGTACTAGAATATGTGGTATGTACGTATTTGTTGAAAGTAACTAGTGTACGTCAATATTTATATAAAAAAAAACGTTGGGTAAATTAGTTAGAAAATTTCTTTTATATGAAATAAGTATAAATTAGAAAAAAAAAAGAAAGAAAGTGCTAATTGTCGAAAATTTGAGAGGAATTACGAAAATGTAGTTAATTTAATTACCCTCCTTTAATCACATTTTGGCTCCTACTTTCTACAAATTTTCATTGACCATCACCTCTTCCTCCTTGAAATTTAAACCCATCATTTCATTAATTTCAGCCACATTTACCTTGCATTTCACCACAAGCTCTTGACATTTGTAATGAGCGTTAAATGGATGAGATTAGATGAGATATTTAAGTAAAAAAATAGGATAAGGATGCATTTTTTTGGTGCATCCCGTAGCTTCCTTAAAGCAAAGAAAGAAAGAGTGAAAGAGAGGGGAAAAAGAGAAAAAAAGGGAAGGAAGAGAAGGGGAAAAGAAAGGAAAAAAAAGGGAAACTAAAAGGAAGCCAAAGAGATTTTAGGAAAGTTAATCCAATGTAAGTAGGTTTCATTTTTTTTTCTTGTTTTGTTTATGCCTTCCATGTTTATTTTATGAATTATTTAATTCATGTAAAATGTGATTATGATATTTTGTGGTGACTTTAAACACTTGGTGTTTGATGATGGATGGTTATGCATGTGTGATGAGAAATGTGCTTTAAGAGAAGACTTTTGGATTTTAGGGGTGGAAAAATTCGAACTTGGTGTGATTTATTTCGGGATCTTATAGTGATTTTTAGGAACAATTCAAAGCATGAAAGTTGTTGATATATGTGTCTACTATGTCTCTTTAAAATTTCGTGACTTTTAGAAATATATATATATGGAGTTATGACTGACTTGGTATGGATCGTTCGAATGGACAGACCTACTAGAAAAATATTTCATTCCGAAAGTTGTGTGTTTTATTTCGGGATCATATAGTGGTTTTTGAGCAGAACTCAAAGAAGGAAAGTTGTTCATCTATGTATCTACTAGATTTATATAAAAGTTTGTGATTTTTAGATCTGTATGTAAGGATTTATGACTGATTTGGTACGGATCGTTGAATGGACCAACTATCTGGAAAAGATTATTTAGTTCCAAAACTTGTGTGATTTATTTAAGAGTTTTAGAATGATTTTTGAAGGAAACTTAAAGAATTAAAGTTGTTGATCTATATGTCTAATATCTCCCCTTAAAATATCGTGAGTTTTAAATATATATTTAAGGAGTTATGGTTGATTTGGTATAGGTTATTTAGGTGTACAACTCGCTGAAAAATTTTTAACCTAAAATAAATGGGCTTGGATTAATGGCAATGGGTTTGGACTTGAGTTAAAATGAGATGGGCTTGGAATTACAAATAAAGTGGACTTAGATTAAAACAAATGGACTTGGACTTAGATTAAAACAAATGCACTTGGGCTTAGATTAAAATAAATGGGCTTGGATTAATGTTAATGGGCTTGGACTTGAGTTAAAATGAGATGGACTTGGATTTAAAAATAAAGTGGACTTAGATTAAAACAAATGGACTTGGGCTTGGATTCAAATAAATGGGCTTGGACTTGAGTTAGAATGAGATGGGCTTGGATTTAAAAATAAAGTGGACTTAAATTAAAACAAATGGACTTAGGCTTGGATTAATGTTAATGAGCTTGGACTTAAATAAAATAAACTTGACAATGGACTTGGACTAAAATCAAAAGGCTTGGTTTTAAAGTAGATGGGCTTAGGCTAAAATAAGTGAACTTAGATAGAAATAAAAAGGATTTTAAAATTTTAAAGAAAATTTATTCTTTCGGAGAGGAAATTAAAAAAAAGAAAAAGAATTAGACCTTTTTTAATTATTAATGAAACTAATGAACAATATTAATGAGCGGAGGTTGTGTTCTCGCTATGAGTACCATGATTGGTATGTGAGCGTCGAGTGAATCCCGAGGATTGGTTGGACCGTGAGTATGGCTTGAGAAAGAAGGGCTGGCACCCGAGTTTGGTTGAATGTGATTAAACATATCATCACGTGCATCATATGCATTGGGGGTGGAAATAAATTGAGAAAAATCATTGAGTCTTGAATTGACACGGTTTGGTAACCGAATTGAGTGGATTGGGTAATATCAAGGAATCCATAGTGCGAGCTCTATTTACTAACACCGTTAAGCGATGGATAATTCCGCTAACCGTGTGTTACAACGAGGGATAATTTCGTTGCGAGCGGTAGGTGATATTGAGATCACTAAGAGAAAGTAATAGAACGAGTAGGTGATAACACGATCACCGAGAGATTGGGCGTACGGACTTGCATATACCTAGGGTACCCGGATTAAAATGGATGAAAATATGAAAAACACAATAGCATTGCATATCACGTGCAATACTCTACTTATTGAGCTTTGGCTTATTCTGTTATTGTATTTGTGTGTTGTTCGGACAAGGACAAAGTTAAGTCGATTGAGGATGCTACCGATTATCGCTAAAAGAGGCTCATGTGTCACTCATAAAAATAGGAATATCTTTTTGTCATTAAAAAGGGGTACGAGCCTAGGACGTAAATTTTTAGGCATTTTGAATATGTTATAAATTATAGAACTATCCGTAATAATGTTGTAAATTATATCATACGTTTCCTATTGTTTAGTTTCGTTGTGTATGATGGAGGAAGTAGGGGACTTAGTCCTAACGAGTGTGTCGCGCCGATCACGCTTATTAGGTAATAGGTAAGGGAGCCGGGGTGTCATACGTGGCCTAATCTCTAGGCTTAGTTATCATGTATTAAACTTAATATATATATATATATGTCATTAAATATCATCATTACTTGTCGTAAACGATTTTTTTTGGCATTTATTTAATACTTACTAATCTAACAATAGTAAATGTGATTTAAAATAATAGGTTAATGGTATCAAATATTGCTGTTATTTTTTCTAAAGATAGTAGTTTCATTAAATCGAAATTTATTATAATAAGTTTATTAACTAGAATTGAAATAAATAAAAAGTATTATTTATTTATAACATTTAGCTATTGAGTATTAAGAAGTTTTTTTTTTTTTAAAGTATATTTTACCCTTAAACTATCAAGGTTAAGAAAAAATAAGACATGAACTATCAATTTGGTCTAATTTATCCTAAAGTTGTTGTTTTTGGACAAATTGTGTCCCTCTGTTATCGTTGAAGTTGATGGTCAAACTTTAACCGTTAGCTTAAAAATTTGAAAGTCAAAACTACATAGTTTGAACAATTTGATTTTCTATGCCAAAAACAATTTTCGAGACCTAAAAATTAAAATTTTTTTTTTTCAAAAAGCATAACTAAAATAACATGTTTAATCGTCATTCATTGTTTACCATTTTTTTTTTAAATAGTTTTATGTGTGAAAAAAAGAGTCATGCTTATATCGTTTTGCACTTTTCAATTAATGATAAAAATTTAATTTATCCTAAAAACAATAATTTGAAAATAAAATAAATCAATTGATAATTTAAATCTTATTTTACCACAATTCTCATGTTTTAAAGGTAAAATATACCATCAAACCGTTTTTTATTTCTCTCTTTCATTGTATGTTTGGAGTAACGAACATGGTCATTATTTTTATGGCTGACCGGTCAGTCTTGCCTGGTTGAGATCTTTATTTCCTTAATTTTTTTAATGCTCAAATGGGTTTCTGATGAGGACGGAGAGTGATTTTATGTGGAAGAATTTATCTCACTTTGAAACAGCAAGTCAAAGAAAGCCAAAAACTAAAGTCTTCTATCCCGGCCTTAAAAAATTTAGTCCTAATCAAGAAGCTTGAAAGCATACAAACTTGCCAACTATCAATGTTCAATGCTTTTCTTTTCCACTCTAACGAACTAATTGGTAATAATCCGTTTTAACTAATGCCACCATCTCCATCCCATTGCCCACATGCCATGGTCGATCTAAAATTTAATGAATTCGCAATGGCGCCCGGCTTTAAGGGTGGACAAAAAACACAAAGGGACCAAATTGCCATGGAATAACATGTTTCAGGATCAAGCTTTGCTAAGGTCCTATATTCATTCTACTTCCATGCATGATAGTTAACAAAGGCATGAGATTATCTAAAATATAATATCTCCCCTAAACCCTCCTCCTCTTGTATGCTATTCACCCTCACAAAGACCCATCAGCATTAGCACCACTGCTGCCTCCTCTCCTGCTTGCTGTTGTGTTCTTCAGTATCTGCAACAAAAATGTCAAATCATCTTATCATCAATGGACACCAGAATTCAACTCAGGAAAATGATAGAAAAATTTCGGATCTTCTTGGGGCTTGTTCGGATCATACACCTATTAAATGGGTTAAACAAATAGGCCCATTAGAAAATTCAGACGGTTATTGCTTGCCCGTCCAGCCCCTTTTGTAGTTTTGCAGCATGAATGGATGGAGCCATGTCCAATATTGGCCCACCACCGTTAACTACAAATCTAACTAGAGGTCTTCTCAAAATCCCAAACAACTTCCATGCTTTAATTGCTGACAGTGGCCATGGTGGGTCGGTACCAAAAGATTCATAACACGGGAAGGTTTCGAAAGACAAACATTCAAATGAGTATATTATAAATTAGTCCCTATATTTTTGAAAAGAAATTAAATAATTCCTCCTATTTCAAAAACTAATAATTTAATTTCTTAACCAACGTTGACTACATTTAATTTAATATTATTTTAATTCAAAATATCATTTTTTCTCATTAATTGTTTCATATTTTTTCTTTTCTATTTCGTAAAACAAAAAATTAAAAAAACGAAAAATGATGAAGTTGCAGTAAAATTTAAAACTATAGGGACCAAAAAATTAGTTCTGGAAACAAAAGGATTGAGTAAATATATTCTCAAAACTAGAGGGACCAATTTATAATTTACTTATTCAAAAGGGTAGTAATGGGCCAAAGATGATTTTTATAATTGGACATGACCAAGTGGTAAGCCAATTGCTATATACTCTTTGTTCAAAAACCTATCTATTTCGTTGTTTTTCAGGCCTACCATTCTATCAAAGCTGCCAAAACAAATATGCCGAATTTTAGCATGACATTACGTGATTCTACGTTATCACGTCAGTACGAGTAAAAATTGCAAAAAATAGAACAAAAAACTTTATCGTAACTAAATTTTCAGTAAATTACTGACTGAAAATTCTTATATTAAACACTAATTTTCCGTAATAACGTTAACTAGGAGTGCAGCTCAAACAAAATATCAGTCATGAAAAATGAAGAAGATATTGTCAGGTGAATCATGTGGGCTCAATAATGATAAGTTCATGAACTTTCTTTTCTTTTGTCATGTCATCCCTTCCGTTTTCAATTTATTTTCTCCGTAAATACACAACAAGATGTCAATATCCTATCTCTCAATCACCAATCATGCAGATATTGGTTCACTTATCCTTAATGAAAACAGGTAGGCAATCATCAACCATGCATGTTGCTTATGCGAATAACATGTCCTAATCTTGAGTAAATTATAAATTAATCCCTCTAGTTTCAATACTAATTAATTTACCCTTTTCATCCATTTCTTGTACTTTTTCAATTTTTTGACGAGAAAATAAAAATGATGAAAAATGGTCAAAATACTAATTAATTAGTTTTTAAAAGTAAAGGGATTATTAAATTCGTTTTGCAAAAATTGAGAGATTAATTTATAATTTACTCCCCTAGTCTTCCAGTGATGAATAAATTAACATACCCTTTTCATCCATTTCATGTACTTTTTCAATGTTTTATTTAAAAAGAAGAAGAAGAAGAGGTAGAAAAATAAATAGATATCATGAAAATAAAAATGGTCAAAAACTAATTAATTAGTTTTTAAAGCTAAAAGGACTATTAAATTCGTTTTGCAAAAAAAGAGGGATTAATTTATAATTTTACTCCCTTATCTTCTAGTGATGAATAAATATTAGAAATGATGGGATAATGGTAACATACATGTCTAAGCATTTGATTCTCATTCTGCAAAGTAGAGAGCCTCTCTTCAAGCTCAGAATTCTTCTTTTCCAAATCTTTAACTCTTGTTTCCAACTCAGTCAAGTAAGCTTTCTTCCTCTCCCTTGCTTGCTGGGCTGACACTCTATTCCTCAACAACCTAGGGAATTTCCAATAGCACCCCCACAAAACACTAATTATCACCAAATCACCCCGAATATAACTCTGCCTCTGTGGCCCACATTAAACGGCTAGAAGGGTAAAACAGTGAATCAAAATATTACCTCTTTAGCCTTTTATTCTCTTTGTCAGCTGGGCTCCTTCCTCTCTTTCTCTGACTTTGTCCTTCTCCTGCAGGCTGCACCCGGTCTGGACCGGCTGTTGAACCGGTCTCTCTACCGGAGGCTGATGTCCCGGCCGGTTCGCCGCTCAGCTCTGGCACTCTTCTTATTTCCTCGTCACTCTCCATACCTAAAATTGACAAAGAAAAACACAGTAAATTAAAAAACCTAAACATAAACAATGTAATATGAGAAAAATAAAGTTTGGGTCTTCAAGAAATCTTAATGAGAAAATTGGAGACCCAATTGAGAGAATCAATGATTCTCCAAAACCCAGGTTGGCAAATGTTGAGAAACTTGAAGATCATGAAGAAATAAATAAATAAAAAAGACTGTGACTTTACTGTAAGTAAGCTTTAGCAGTGATTGAAAAACTTTCATTTCAAAAAACCCATGTCGAAATTTTGATACTTTACTTGAAATAACGAAGAAAAGCATCAACAGTTGAAAAATTAAATAAATTTAATAAAGAAACTGCTTTAATTCCATTTTAAATTAAAAAAAAAAAATGACAAAGAAGAAGAGAGAAATGAGACCTTCTTTGACTTCAAGTTGAGGAGCAGAGCTTGAAGATCTTTCACTGCTAGACGGCAGAGAATTTGTTGGAATTGAACTAGTAGTTTGTTCCTGCATTTTTTTTTCTTTTTTTCTTTAAGGATCAGAGAGAATGAAATAAATTTTTTTTAATGGCTTTTAGAAAGAGAAAAAGAGCGGGATATTAATGCTAGATTGAGTAAATTGCAGAGAAAATGGGTACAGAGTTATTTAGAGCCATTAGATTTGATTTTAATCGGACGATGAAGACATGAAAATCGTGGAAGCATATGAGCCATGACGGGATAGGTGAATCAAAGGATTGTAGTGCAGAATCGTGGAGGAGTGTGGACTGTCGATTGATTTTAATCGGATGGTTGAGATGGAAGTTGGCAGAGTACTGCAATGAATTGGACCACATTATGTGCTGGCTTAAGGTGGTTGGTTCCTTTGGTTCTTGAGAAAAAAGAGTTTTAATTGGAGTGTTGACATATCATTCCATGATGATGTAGAGAATATCTATTTTCTATTTTTGGATATGTGCACGCCACAATCTTGTGCAATCCGACTTCAAATTAGGGTTGAAATGATTCCAAATTCCAACCAATCCCAAACTAACCATTCACATGTGCATAGCCATGTGTATTAGGTTTTTTTTTTTTTTTTTGACAAAAATGTCTTTTGATTGAAAATATTATTTTTATGTTTTTCACGTGAACATATTAAAGTTGTTTAAAAATATATATTTTTTCAATTCAAACACAAATGCAAATGCAGTTTGACAAAAAATATCGATTACAACTATTTTATTTTGTTTTGTTTTGTTTCGTTTCGAAAGAAGGGAGAGAAAATTTTGTTTTATGATATTGGTGCAATGGTTAACGGTTTTTTCAGTTATAAAATAAATATTTGAAAAATCTAGTAGCTTCCATTAAAAAGGGGTACATAGATGTTAAAAATTAATATGACACCAGAGGGTGAATGGATGCTTTTTTTAAAAAAATTAATTTATTTAAAAATCATTCTTTTGATTCCTAATTTTGAATTTGACTTTATTAAATTATATTTCATTTAAGATCAAGTATTTTTTTTTTAATTTTGATAGAATTTTATACATAAGATAATGTAAAATTCCCATGACCACTAGAAAAGAAATTATGCTTTTCACTTTAATTGCATTTTTTTTTAATTAAAATTTGCATTTTCTTTTCATTTTTTATCGAATAAAAATATTTTTTTATGTATTTAATATGTTAAATTCGTTAATTTATGGATGTAACTCTATAAAAATTATATATATTAATTTCAAATAAAATATAGCTAAAGGAGATCAAACCCCAATTAAAAATTAAAAAAATAAAATTTTAAATGAATTAAAATTCATAAAATATGGCACTCCTTTAGCCTAAATTAAATATATGCATTTATACCATGTAAAAGAGCCCGCAAGGCTCGAAACAAGTGACACACTATTGTACTATCTCTTTGTTCACATTTTTTAAAGCATAAGATATTTTTGAATTGAGATTATTTCATGAAATTTCAGAATTCAATGTACCTTGATTATGATGTTATTAGAAATAAATAATTCACTGTTCTCGTTGACAATGTATACGTATGATTTGTTTTTATTTTTTATTTTTTATCCCTCCTTTGAAAGTTCAAGTTGCTTAAAAAAAGTTAGTGGTTTGGCAATGGAAACTCTTGTTCATTAATTTGACTGCAATCCTGCTTTCGATTAGCATGTTCATTAGGTTAGGTTTGAATTTTGATATTTGGACAGCTAATCATCAATGAAATATCTTTATCTTTATAAGATTACCAATTAAACTTTTTTTATATATATATTAAGGTACTCAATTATCTCTTACAAATTGAATTTTTTATATATTTATAGACAATAAAATATTTTTGATTTAATTTTCGTCTCAATTAAGATTAAATTCAGTATTTCCTAAATTAATTCAGGACTAAAACATGTTTATTAATTAAACTTTGAGTCACAAACTAAAACCTAATTATAATCACAATTATAATGTTTATAACACAAGTTTGGTGCTAGGGGCAGCATTAGTGGCTGTAATAAACTTCACTAACGTGTATAGATATCATGGATACTCCAAATAGCGCGATTGTGGCATGGGAGGCTGCTTCTGGCTATAGCAATATTCCTCTTAAACACAAACCATGAAGTCCTGTTAGAGCTAGCCTGACATTTTGGAAGCAGAAAATTAAAAAAGAAGAAGAAAAAATAAAATAAAATAGAGAGAACAATGCATGGCTTATAATTACTAACTTATTCTTGCAAACTCGAGTAATTAAGAACATAACATGGAGCAAAAGTATCATTTCTAGCAGAGGTGAAGTGATGCTCCTTGGAGACAAGCTCACAAGTGCATAACAAGAAAAGTTTTCCACTGAACTTGCCCACATAGCCATGTACTTTTGGTCTGGATCGATTTGCATGAACCATGAAAAACAACAAAGAAAGAGAAGAATTAGGAGCTCCCTTCAGTCCAAAACAGGCTTTAAGATAATAAAGGCACTGAGCCAACACCTTTAAAGCTGCTTTAGGCTGGAAGGAACCCCCATTTCTGCACATTTCTCCTTCACCCATGCCTATGGAGAGACTTCTGCTTGCACATTGTGGAGTCCTAAAATAACTGTTCTTTGGTGAAAATTGTGGTGTTAGCCATTCGGGCTAGTTGAATTATAGGGACATGAACTAGACTCGAGCTTTTTCTACTATTTTGGCTTCAAATGGTTCCCAATGTGAAAAAAGTAAGATGCTAAAATGATCATTCGATTCAAAAGACTTAAAACTTTTAGGCAAAGATAGAGTTATTTTGGCTACATGTTCCTGGAGTGACTGCTTAACATTTCTCAAATATTTCTGATTTTGGGATCGAATCATCTAACCACTTGGTTATAATTAATATCTCAGATATCATACGAAAGAACAACTTAACCCAATTTAAACTCTTAGGTAGAATCTAAAAATATTTGTCTCAACAACGACTTTGAAAGTTTGCTACGTGAAGTCTTGCTGCTAGAATGTAGACCTATTTTTAGCCGTGGTCCCAAATACGAAATATCATCGACAACCCATTGGACAAAATCCGTCAAGATCTTTCCAAGTCTTGAATGGTCTATTTCTTCAGTACTAGGAATATATACCCTTGAATTGACAAAAGATACTGCATTTTTGCATCCCTAGCGAAGTCACTTAGGCTGCTTTTCTACTTGTTTGTTTTCAGATTCAAGCGATTCTCCACTCTCTCTCACCCCTTTAATTATATCCTGCTAAAAACCATGTATGGATTCTGCCTTCTTTTGCTCCTTTCGTTACAAAAATGATATCCGCTTGTGATTTACGTGTACTAATTAGCAGTAAGGTGACGATACATTGCATCTTCCACAGCTTGGATATGGCCAAGAAAACTGTGTGTTAACTACGAAAATATCGTGATAGGAGTCTTATATATATATGATATGATTAATGCATTTGTGGCCATTACTTGTTTGGCAGAATCTTCTTTCCTCACCTCTACGAATTGCCAAATTATTGCAGCAACTTGAAAGCGAATGATTCATATGTTTGACCTAAATGCATTGACGATATCAAAGGAGTAGTAATGCTACAAACACCATCGGCTTTTTTGACACACGCTGGCTGATTGACGAAACATAGCGTATTATTACGGACTTGGCTTTTTCCCAAACTCATCGTCCGCCAATCGACTTAGTTCTCTTTTAAATCAAACCAAGTCAGCATCTTTTCTGTACAAAATTGTGAAGCAAAAAAGACATGCTAACAAGATATTATAAAAAAAACTTTCCTTGTGAGTTTTAGTGTCTCTTGACGAGCTTGAAAAAAGACCAAATCCGAGAACGTATTCGCTCACTGGTGTCCAAGACTCGCAAGTTTCTGTAACATTGGCCATTTTCCTTATGAATCATGACGCTTATGGGTTTTGCGGGACTGGTACATTTTGGATTAAAGGTTTTGGCAATCTCCTCTATGAACATGCATGTCGACTTTCATTCAACAATGACGTTTAACCATATTAGAGTACACTAAGCATCTAACAACGAGGAATTGCATTGTCAGGTAGAATACATGTTTAGCCTAGTGATACTCTCTTTTGCCAAGGAAGAGAAATAGACATGACTCAATTTTGAGATTGCCACTATTATGGTAGCTAAACTAAAAGAAACGTAAGGAGCAACAAATAAATGAAAGATTCAAATAGCTGCATGACATAAACTTCCATGGCTGATCTTCCTAAAAATTCACTTGTTGCTGAAAAGTAAATTTGAAAACAGGTTTCTTCTTGTTGATTTGGATTTAGGGATGGCTAGAGGCTTTCCAAAAGCTTTAGAAGATTGCTTCACAGGGGCAGTTGAATAACTGCGAGGGAAAGCAGTGGGTGCTGCCTTCGAGTTGCCGGAATCCGTCGTGCTGATGACTCTAGTGCTCTGGCATGGCCTTAGTTCCTTGTAGTCTACCCTGTCCTCTTTTATGAGAGATTTATCTTCCCATACCGTTCCTGATGAACCCTGTCTCCTAAAAGCTGTTGACCTTTGCAAAGTTGCCATGTCCTTAATTCTTGAGCACCCTTGGTCTTATTATCTTATGCAGATTGGGAGATTGTGATACAAGAATAACTGCTGTCTTAAGCATATATAGGAGATGGTTGTAGCTAGAAAATAATGCGAACGTAGGAACCACAGGAAAATAGGCCATAGGATGGGATCCAAGGAGGGAGTACTTTGCTATGCCGGCTAAACTACTCGTCAACTCTTGTTTGGGCAATTTTTTGTCGAGATAGAGACCAAACAATTTTCAGTAGAAACAGCATAAGCCCTGCGATATTGTCAAGGGAAATTTGGTAGCTATTTGTTGAGTTTTGTCGAGTCAATTACTCAGGGACATTTTCTAAGCACATAAAACAAATCATGGTAAAAATCTAATTACCCAGAAAATTTCTCTAAGCATGATACTAATGCCAAAATTTGGTATTTTTTGTGTATTTAGCTGAAAAGCCAAAGAATTTGAAGCTCTTGTACTTGGTATAAGAAATTTAGCACACAGCTTTCCTCTCCATTTAGGGAAGTTAGGTGAAAGTTGATATTCATTGTTAAATTTGGAGAACTATAACGCTTGCCATACTTCAATGTCCATTTTCACCAAAAGATCCATTCAATCATGCCAAAATCCAAAGTCGTTCAACTGGGGTCGACTTCATTTTACAGTGCTTGCACACACACACACGTGTGAACCTACGACCCCTAACAGAACACTACTCTACGCATACATTTTCAAAGGCTTCGACAGCCAGAGCTGAGATTCGGTAGCAACCTCTTAACTTTCAGGACCTCAATATTGAAGAAAACTCTCTTTCACTGCTGATTATGACAGAATAGGACTTGATCTATGTGCTATTGCTACAATACTTTGAAAGTGCCACACTTTCGTTTAACTATTTGCAATAAAGACAGATTGTGACCAACCCAATTATACAGCAAAACCATGGAAAACATACTGTATTTCTCATCAACACAAAATTATAAGGATTCTCATCTTCTTACAAGAAAGACTCTACAGCCTTCCAAAGCTTATGTTATATAGCAATTTTCTTTCCATATTTCCTGTGAATTTATCAACATGCCTCCGTTCCTACTAAAATATGTCAATACTTTAATCTGGGATATAGCAAACTTATTGGCAACTTTGCAACTGCCTGTCAAACTTGCATGTCAAATTTCGCATAAACCATATAGCAGCGATATTATGAGTAGCAAAGAAGGATGGCTTAAATTACTTTCCCATTAGATAGATGAGAAATCATCTTTAAATCAAACTCAATCCTGGAGCCTTTTTCTTTCTTTTTTCCCAGACTGGGAACTTGGATTTCAATGACTTGTTTGCTGTGTTGTTTTTTATGATAACCACAGGCATCATGGTTTACAGAAAGGATCAAATATGGAAAAGAGGAAGAGCTTGATGCATTAAATATGTTGCCTCACAGGCCATCATCAGAAGCATTGATATACAGTGTGTTTCAACTGGAAGATACAGTTTCAGGAACGGACCTTTGAAATGGGTTCCGTTGTTCAGGAACACCATGTTCAGCACGTTTGTCTTCAAACCATTTCACCACTCTCTTACGGGGCAGGTTGGTCACATGTACAATGCTGCTAATCATTGTGTTCTGCATTGTTTATAGATACACAGAGGACATAAGGAACCAGATTTTCCCCATATTAATACGGCATAATTGTGTAATGAACAATAAAAACCTCATCCTCGTGTTTTTCTCCAGGTAGTTCAATAAATCATAAAAATTTCATACAGCAGGAAACTAATCTAGAAAGAGTTAAGAGTAAGGCTTAATGATAACTGATATCATCAATAAAAATAAAGGCTTGAGTGTTGACAACACCCACATGCATGTAAACTTATTGAAGGATTAAACTGTCTCCAAATTCTCTAGAAAACCATGCTTCTGACAAACCTTGATCGTGTAATGACACTGTCCATCAATAAATTATAAAAGCCATTTCATAAAATTGATTAATGATTAATATTACTTCTTAAACTGTTGGATCCACATTTCTCATAGCACAAAAAATGCAATATCAGTGCACAGAACTTATTTCACAAGAGAAAGTAGAGAAAATTAGGCTTACAGTGGGTCTCTTAGTTCTTCTATAGACTCTTTCAAGAGTGTCAACATGGATTTTCTTCAGTCTCTTTCGAGCTAACCAATTGTCCTGCATAACATGAACTGGCACTTTCACCTCACTCTCAGATTTTACGACATTCTCATTTTTCATTTCTTCAAGAAGAATTTCACTTGGTTTAGTTTCCGGCATAACCAGTGTTGGTGCAGGTTCATCAGGTAAAGCAGCACTCATCATGACAAGATTTGGAGGAGGGTCACGAAGCAAGTCAAGAACAACAGCCCTATCAAGACAAAGCTCTGCAGAAAGACTTTTAATCTACAAACAAAAGAGAAATAAATTTATAAACCAGAAATATTCACAACTGGCACTGTATGTTGAAGTTAATCGAAAACACATGCTGTAAAGACACTCACGCTTGCTTTGCGGCGACCAGTTTTTAAAACTCGTGCAAGTCTCCGAAGCTGCCAATTCTTAAGTGTCACTGGTCTTTCCTCCTCCTCATCTTCCTCTTCATCTTCACCATCATCATGCTCAACATCATCTCCAACCGAATTAACCATTTCTACCTCATCATCATCACCTCCACCAACTCCTAGCGCCTCCTCTAACTCGTGTTGGAGCTTTTCAAGGTCTTCTTCACTTAAATCATCATCAACATCACCCACAGACAAATCATCATTTTTAAGGTCTTCTTCTAACATATCAAACAATGCCTCAAATGCATCTTCATCCATCTTATCTTCCTCCCCCTCACTTCCTTCTTAGAAACTCTTTTCTACAATAAATAACACTGAATATAAACAAACAATTTACCGCTGAAAATCACTTCAGCTACTCAAAATGTTACAGATTACCGAAAAATGAAAAAAATAAAAATTCAACTCCTCTTGTTATTTAGCTCAAGAAGCGCAATTTTAAACTAACATAAACCAGATAAGAAATAATTAAACGCACTCCAAAGGAATAAATACAATTGAATTAATTAAAAGAATAAAGAAAAGAAACAATTCCATTCAATCGTACGAAAAAGAAGGCACGCTTCAATTTCACTCACTACTTTCCTTTACATTTCTTCTCCTTCGATTTTCCCAGTAACCAAATACACACTTTCTCCAGACCCATTTCTTTCAGTCTCATTATTAACCATCATAGAATGAAAATCTCACATGGGCTATCAAAAATTTTAATTTTTAACAAATGTCATCAAAATTTTCATTTTTCTCCTCACATTTCAACTTAACTAATGCTAATATTCTAAGCTTACCTTCTTTTTCTTTGAAGAGGAAGTGGCTGTAGAGTTGTGGTTTCGACGGCGAGAGAAGGCGACAGTGGAGATAGCAAGAGAATGACGTGGCAGCACGAGATTGGATGGCCTGAGGTGAACCCGGTCAGCAGTGTGTAAAGATGTCAAGTTGTGAAGTGCCATTGAGGCTTTTGAAATTGATAACGCGAAAGCCATTTTTGCTGGCACTGCTCTCTCTCTCTCGCGTCTCCAAGATTAAAATCTAATAAATATCTTATGGATAGCCTCTAAACGCGTCGTTTTGTTGATCCACCAGGTTTTAGAGAATCTGTTTTCGGTTAATAGGATGGGATTTACGATTTTTGAGAATATGATTTTGGTGAAATTAATAATTAAAATTTATCTATTAGTTTCCAATTCAAGTGCTCGTTAAGGAGTAAAATTAAATGTTATGGTGCGATATATATATATATATATATATATATATATATATATATATATATATATATATATATATATCCCTAATGCTATCATTTTCACTTAAAACTATCTCAAATACAGTTTAAATCTGTTAGGCTTTTGTATAAAAAATTATTTATTTATTATTATTTTTTTGATATGTTTGACATGATTTGTGAAAAATAATTTTTGATTTTGAGTTATGATTTTAATTTTAATTTTTTATAAATAGTTTACAATAAAAATGAGTGAAAATGATTTTAAGTTAGAACGATGTCATGTAAAAATGAGTCAAAACAACTTTTTAAAAGAAAAATATAGTACGAGTTGAAATTCATATGTTAAAATTTGATTAAAATAAAATTTTAATTTAATTTTATAATAAACTTTTGATTTAAGTTAAAAGTTATTTCCGATAAAATATACTTATGATTTCTCTTTAACTCAAAAGACAATTTAAATCAATTTGTAAAAGTCATACTAAACGAGATGTTAATTTTGTAATTAGATGGTTTCACTATTTAACTGTTCTTTAATTCTGGATTAGTTTTTGTTTACTAATATAAAAAATTATCGAATATAAGGACGTACTCATTTCTTAAAAAAAAGGGACACGATCGTAATTATGTTGATTTATCCTTTTTTTAATACATGTAATGCAGTGATGCACTAATATAAAAATACTTAATAATTATTTACTCTTTTGACCACGTTTTAAGCATAGCATTTACATTCAAATTGGAAAAAATATCCGCTTACAGCCCCAGCCAACACCTTACGTGTCATTTGATTATCAAAAATAAAAAATCTGAAATGAAAATTTAGGAATTAAAATAAAAATTAAAAAATAATAATAACATTTGTATTTTTCATTTGTTTTGAATATTAATCAAGTATTCAAATAAAATTTAAATTTTTTAATATTTAATTTTTTATACGAATAAAAATAACGAGTACAAAAATAATTTTATCAAACTACAATAATTGTAAAATTAATAAAAGTACTTATGGTGGTAGTGATTAAAACGACGATAGTGATGATATTAGTTATAATGATAATAATAGTTGTGGTTATAGTAGTGATGATGATGATGGTGGTGATATTTATGGTATAAGTAATTAATGCAAAATAAATAAATAAAATTTACTATTTTCATTTATATTCTCAATATTCCATTCCGAATAACCCTTATCTAATTTCCACGTCTTGTGATGATTAGATTCAGCTACTTGTCTATTAAATTAAAGGGCAAAAGAGCATTAATAGTAGTATTCAAGTTTTGGGTGGGCTATTCAAAGAGAAGCCCAACCCATGAACACTTGGGCTGATTGCTAATCAACCCATCTCAAATTCACAAATTCCAAAAATAATACTGTTTGAGCCTGGCACCAAGGGCTCACCTCTCAACTCGCACAGTCCTCTCTCTCGGTCTCTCTCTCAACAATGGCAACACCAACAGCAACAACGACAAGAGCAACAGCTAGGAGAAGGAGTTGGGTAAGCAATCTAACATCATACGCAGCTCGCATCTATTTCTTCCTCATCTTTCTACAGGTCCCTCTCTTCAGGTACTTGCTCCCTTTCTTTCTTTCTTCTTTTCTTACACTTCCAAAATATTATTCTTTCAATATCCATTGTTTTCATATAAATCTGTATTATATTAATAGCTTGACTCAATTTATTAATTCCAAGATCAGATTTCGTAAGAATTTATTGAAATTTTGACTCAGATTTCTTGCTTTGCTTTGCCCATTTTGTGTTGAAAAATATGGGCAAGTTCAGATTAAAAACAGTGAAAAAACTAATTGACCATTCAAGTACGGTTTCTGAAATGGCGGGACTGAAGGATGAATGCGTTTCTTTATGGGTCAAGTAATTCGGTTACATAATGAGGGTTGATCAATCCATTTCAACTGGGATTCGATCCGAAATGACTTAAGCAGCTGAATCGGTGACGCTTATAGGTTGTTTTTTTTATGTTTTTTGTTTTTTCCATGTAGGATTCCATGTAGAGCAGGCATGTGTTCGACGCCAATCCATGTGACATCGTCCCAGTTGATTGCAAGTGAGGTCTTTCCTGTTCCTGTAGTGAAAGCTCTTCTCTACCCTGGAGCTGTTTTGAATGGTCTTGTAAGGAACATGACTGTTCCGAGCTGGGATAACCTGTTGAATATCTATAACTTGACCAGTGTGAAGGAAGCACCTGCAGTAACTGATCTTCAGCGCTTAGAGGTTCTGCTTTTCTCCTTCTAATCTCCTTATTATTGTTGTTGTTGTTGTTTTTAAATTACACAAGAGGAGGGGGCACATAACATCTTCTTCTTGGCCACCGAATATGTTTTATGTATAAAATTGCGCAGACTAATCAATCTTACAGAAATTTTTTGACATGTGCAGTATGTATATGATCATTTTCTTGTTAAAATGATTAATATGTTTGATAGGAGTTGACTTATTTCTTTTGAATTGGGGCTGCAGATAATTTTGTCATTGAAGTTGAACTCTAAATTCATCTTTAGGGGATATAGAGATATAATGACTGATTGTTATGTGCAGGCTCAATTTTGTCCTTAAATTTCTTCTGACTTCATTTCCTCCGTGTAAAAATTGTGCTTACTGAAGTCTTGAACTGAAATTCTTATGTGATTGCATTTATGGGAATTCTTTTTCCTGTGTTTGCATTCATGTGCTTGTAAGTGAAGGCAGTGTTGCGCTTCTTTTTCCAATGTGTTTGCATTTATGGAAATTCTTTTTCTTCTAGATTCCTGTTTAGTTACTTCTTTGAGCATGATTTACTCTTATGGACATCAGGCCGTGCCTGTGAGCTTTCTTCACGTATCCAACAAGCTTACTGTTTCATTTATCGGTCAGTGTTTCATATCTATGATTCTTTTTCCAGGTTCTTGCTGGAAGCTACTTTTCTGTGGCTGGAGCTCTTGTGGGCATTCTAAAACCTGGGAGGATGAGCATGTTTGGAACACTTCTTGTAATCTGGGGGCTTGTCAAGGAAGGGATCCTAGGAAAGCCAGCGAATACAGATCCTGCCAAGGCTGTATATGTCTACCCTACAATGTTGATTGCCCTGATCTGTGCCTTCTCATCAGTGAAGTATGATATGAAGAAGGTTGTAGGAAGTGCCCCTCCTCGGCCCATTGCAAAGCCTCTGCAGAGCTCTTCGAAATCTAAGCTGAAATGAGATTCACGCTTCTATTAGAAATGATTTTCCTTTTCTCGCTAAACTTCTCATGGTCGATGAGTTGAAATTATATCTGTTTCTGGCAAAAGCATCTTTGAAAATCTGCAATAGTTCAGCTATTAAATCTCAGTTTGCAAATATGTTCATTACAGAACTGAGGAATCTATAGCCAGATGAAATTTTGTTTAAACTTATTTTGAATGTTATGAAAAATTGGAAAAGAAAATGCAAGTTTCACCATTTCTACTGCGGTAGGATTCCACTTTTGCTTTTAAGCTTTCGGACTTCCCTGTTTTTCCCCATGTCAACTTGAATATTGCAGGTTGGAGAACTTCCTTTCCTCGTTAAAATGTCATAGGCATTTACAGGGTTTTTCTTCAAAGGAAGGTGAAATTTTCCTTTCGATTCCAGTTGCTGAACCTGGAAGAGATTTCAAACACTAACCAGGCTAACCGTTTGGCGGCATCAGATAATTTAGAAATGTTGAAAGGGCTGAAGCAGGCTGAAGATAGATGGCCTTAAGGGGACCCTTGTTTGCTTTGCAGTTTGATAATGGGTAAAGGTCATATATATATATATATGGCAAGCAAATTTCTGAAGGCTAAATTGGCCAAATCACTTTTGAACTTTAATTTGTTTGAAATTGAGTTTTTAAATTTTATATTTGGTTTTTGAAATAATTGAATTTTTAACCTTTTAAGATTTACTCTATTCAATAATTTTAAGCTATCACTTTCATTTTAAAAAAATTCAGTTCATAATATTTTGAGCTGTAGTGTCGCAGGCACCGTTAAGAAAAATCCAATATTTTTTTTAAAATTTTTTCTGAATTTCTCAAAATAAAAAAAGTATATTTATTTATTTATTAAAAAATAAAAATATAAAAAAAATCTGAAATGATTTTAAATTTTTTTAGGAGTTCATGAATAGTTTAATCGTGGAGTTGCTTATGTAATTATTATTTTTCAGAATAAATAACAAAAAACTAAGAAATAGACTAAAAACTAATTTTGAACTTCAAAAACTTAATTTTAACTAAATTAAAATTAAGAAAAGGTTTCACCGATGTAGCCATTTTTTAAAGTCCCTGCTGCTCAAAATAATCCAAACTTTGAAATTACCGTCAGTTAAATCACAAGAGCAAATTGTAATTTCAAAGAAATGGTGAGAAAGGTAGATTGTACATTACCAATTAAAAGAAGGGTGATCATTAAATGATCACAAAGGGGACAAGTTGACAATACTGCCCCCACCAGTACAGCAAAAAAGGCATAAATATTCGTTAACAAAGACCTGGGAAGGGTGAAGTCAAGTGGAGTCTCTCTCCCTCCTCAAGAGCTTGACTTTGGAGTTCCAAGTAGGCAAGGCTGCAAGGAGGATCTCGCACCATTTTGTAGGTAAGGAAGAACGGTATGCACTTTGGCTTTTCCTTTATATTTGAAGATCGATTCTCTATTTTGTATGCCTTAAAGATATTTTCTTTTCTTTGTGCTGATTCTCAACTCGAATATTTTGGTTCTGGAAAAACAAAAGTTTCCTTCCCAGAAATGATCTTTATTCTTACTCTCAGCTTGTCAATTTGCTAGATTTTCAGAGAGATAACAGAATATTTAGCTGTTTTTTTTCTTATTTTTCTTGCAGATTTGTTAGTGAAGGTTTTGTTCATCGTGTTGCTAGTGGTCATAGTTCTCTACTTCAATCCCAAGTGGGCATTTCCTTACTGTTTTTGTATGATCTTCGAACCTGCTACTCTTTATATATTGGCCACGATGACCATGTCTATTCCTCTTTCCCCAACCCCAACCCCCCTCCCCCCCCCAAAATATTCTACGTAATCTGTTTCTATATTACAATGATGATGAGTGACCATACTCATGTGTGTAATTTATTACAACATGTTTTAATAATATAATGGGGCGATGATGTGAAACAAGAGTCGAAAGAGAAAACGAATGTTGGTAATTAATGAAGCCATTTGAGGTTTCTATCTTTTTTAAGGTTTGATGAAGTGGGGAGAACAAAAAAGTTGATTCTTTCAAAAACGATGATTACGTAGTGAATTTTTAAGTAGATCGGCCCATAAGGCTGATAGGAAATTGATTGGTTGTGCTTAATCGTAGACTTTTAGTTTGATTTAGTTATGAAGTAAGATAGTTATTTATTAATTAATTATGTTGCTCCCTGTTTTTTTTTTTTTTCTTATTTTTCTTGCAGATTTGTTAGTGAAGGTTTTGTTCATCTTGTTGCTAGGGGTCGTAGTCCTCTCCTTCAATCCCAAGTGTGGAAATTGCTGAAGCAGTAAGGAGAATAAATGGGAGATACAAAGAATGATACTTTGATCGACATCAAAGACCTAGAAGCTTCAATTAGAGGGGAGTTAGACAGCTTGCCTGTTCTGTCCTCAGAGTGCTGCATCGACACAGTTTCTAAGCGGCTGCGTCATTTGAACCCAAAGGCTTACACACCTCAGCTGGTTTCAATTGGGCCGCTGCACCATGGCAAAGAAGAACTAAAACCGATGGAAGAGCATAAAAAGAGGTACCTTCAAGATTTTCTTCAAAGGACTAATGTAAGTCTGGTAGATTATCTTGAAGTTATAAAAAAAAGGAAAAAAGTTTACGCGATTGTTATGCAGAAACCATAAAATTTAGCAGTGATGAGTTCATAAAAATGATTTTAGTGGATGCTGCCTTTATCATTGAAGTCTTGTTGAGGTTTTATTTCGAAGAATGGCGAAAAAAGGAAAATGATCGTCTATTTCATAAACCATGGATGATAAAAGATATAAGGCTTGACATATGGTTGCTTGAAAATCAACTTCCTTTCTTTATTCTGGAAGATCTTTTTGATGCTGCAAAAACAACCCTTCTGGCTGGCAAAGATCAAGGGCTTTCTATCACCAAGCTTACCTACAGGTTCTCAAAAGATTTGTGGGACTTGGAGGAAATGAAGGTAAGATCTCAGAAAAAAAATGTGAAGCATCTGGTTGACTTTTTGAGAATATGCCATCGACCTCCTCAATCGAAATCCAAAAAGGAACTCAAAAGTCTGATCATACCCAGTGCAACAGAGCTCCATCAGGCTGGTGTCAAGTTCAAGTTGGGGTCAAGCAGAAACTTATTTGACATAAAATTCAAGAACGGGGTTTTGGAGATACCCAGATTGCAGATAGTCGGTGCGACAGAGCTTTTATTCAGGAATCTGCTGGCATTTGAGCAATGCTATTGTTCTAAGAACTACATAAATGACTATGTGATTGTCATCAATCACCTTGCCAACACTGCCAAGGATGTGGAATTACTTGTCCGAGATGGAATTGTTGAAAACTGGCTTTGGGATGATGAAGGGTTGTCAGCTCTATTTCATAGCCTTGTCCAGGAGACTATTGTCATTGTTAATCATTTCTATTTTTCTGCTCTTGTTGAAGACCTGAATGCATACTGCAGAAAACCATGGCACAAGTGGCAGGCAACCTTAAAACAAGATTACTTCAATAATCCATGGGCCATCATTTCTTTTATAGCAGCTGTCATTCTCCTTGTACTCACTGCTATACAAGCAGTGTGTTCTGTCTTGGCAGTGTAGGTACTAGGTACCGGACTCTTTTTCGTTGTGTTTTAAGTTGCTTTGGGTTTGAGCAGTATGGAAAGTATTGCCTTGTGAGTGCAGTCTAGATGTTTCATTTTGTCTAATAAGATTGTTAGTTTCTGTAAAACTGCAGCAATCAGCTAGCTTAATATGTTTTCAGCAATGATTCAGGTAGTTTTTGCATGATCTAGAAGGAATAGATACTGAATCAGAACAGATTCATGATGACCCTCTTACAAGCTGACAGCGTCAAGGACAAGGAGAGAAGGAACAATATACTCGCAAATACGGATGGTAATTTGCCCTGTTCAGATGTAGCCTCAGCCCTCCCTGCCTTGGTCAACGTGGGGATTTCCCGTGTTAACTAGAGAACTGGGCAGGGAGGAGCGCCTCGTGAATGGAGATATGATGTGAATGGCATTTGCCCAACCCGCCCAATCTCATTTGTCTCGTTTACCTCTTTTCATGATTTTTTTTTCATAAAATTATAATTATATCCTATATAAAATCTATAATTAATGTTTTTTAAAATTTATTTTTTTAATAAATTATATTTTTTTTATTATAATTTAAAATTTGATAATAAAATAAGATAATATAAGATTAAAAAAAAATTATTCTACTTGCTCCGTTAGTGTCTCACAGAAATCTTCGTCTCCATTTAGTACGAAAATGGTATGACAAATTTTGCTCTAACGAGGCACGAGGAGTAAAGGTCATGGTTTGGGCTGGGCACATTAAACAAAATGAGGCAAACAAAGAATGATGACTTTTCTTACGTCAGTCGTTGATTTGCAAGTTCGAAACACAGAGAAACAAGAGAGTCACTGCTTTATCCATGTCCAAGTACATGTGTGTGTCCTATCCTTAGTCCCATCGAACCAATAATGACCTTGCAGCTCCACAACAACTCTCATCTCAGCTATAGTTAAAAAGGATACGAGGTTAATTAAAAAACCCTTCAAGAGGAAAAAACAGCAAAAAAATATTATAACTTTTTAAATAGAAAACTAGATACTTCTAATAATATTGAATAATAAAAATATATATAATAAAATTAGAATTCTAGGAAACTAATTTCCTAATAAACTGTAACCAATTATACTAAATCTTAGCAATTAAATAAATATTACAGTAAAAATAATTAAATATTTCATCAATCAGCGTGTTAGTGTTAATAATAGGCATAACTTTCTATTTGTCTGCCTTGTATATGAAAGGGTTTGTTCAAAGAGCGGGTCTGCGACGTGGAAAGAGTTCTAATATTTTAAATAAATAATTTTAAATTCAAATATTTATATATAAAAAAAATTTTAAATCATTATATTCGTTTTATGGTTCAATCGAATAACAAAAGATTAGTAATTTAGTTCCCTTCGTACTGGATACGAAACTTCTTCGTAACATCACAGATAAATTCTAAAATCAACAACGCTCGCAATATAGGTCAAGAAAAAATACGAGACTTGCCACTTTGAGCTCTGTAAAATTGAATATGGAACCACCAATTCCAGCATCATCAGCAAGTTTGGAGCTTACTGATTCGACATTATCTTCTTCGAAAATCTCCTGAAATTGAAAGTGTGCTTTCAAATCTGATAACCACCAAATAAAACTTTTCCTCAAGCGATTCCCATTAAAGTAAGAAATTTCTTCAAAAGCAGGAACACGTTGATGAATAGGGCTTCTTCACTAGGGTGACACTAACCCTGCTCGCGATACCAATTAAGAAAAGAAATAAATATTGCCATTAACAGTGTTTAACATTGCTTACATTAGAGTCCTTTGTTTTTCTGAAAACATTTTCATGAAAAAAACATTTTCATGTTGAAAATATTCTCTTGAAAAGAAATTATTTGATTGGTTGATTTGAATGACGACGATAAGATAAAAGAAAAAAAGAAAAACATTATGATGCTGACGATAAAAATAGTGATTGTGATAATATTAGTTATAGGATGATGATTGTTGTTATAACATTGATAGAATGATAGTTATAATAATGATACTTTAATGATAAGGTAGTGAATGATAACGGTGTTGGAGCGAGATAATGATAGTGAAAATAACATCAAAGTTATGGGAATAGAGATGGTATTGGAAGATTATAGCAAAATGATGATAAAATAGTGATCACATAAGTGATAAGAAAATGATTGTTGTTATTGTTGTGATAGTGGTGATGGTACAAGTAGTTGTGTTTAAGTTATAATATCATTAAATATTATAAGTATGTAGTATCAAAGAAAATATTTTTCCTTTTCTATAAGGTTAAAATATTTAAATTGATTGAAAAATATTTTTCATTTATTTATGTTTAGTATTTGTTTTGCATTAAAAAATATAGAATTTTTTTAGCAAAACAAACAAACACACTGTAAATTAGTGTTATAAAATTCTTTCCATAACGGGTAATATAACATTTTTATTAATATTAAATTATATTGATATTTAGTTCAAAAAAATGAAGGAAAATTATTGGAATAAAGAAAAAAATAAAAACATGTTTTTATGTTAGAAATAAGAAAATAATCATGTTTTGCTCGAAATATTGATTTTTAAAAAATTATATATATATATATACACACTAAATGTATAAAACGCATCGTTTCCTAACTATTGATTAACTTATTACTTTAAAGTTTAATAAAATATTTTTCAAAACTGTAAGCTTTATCACTCAATATTCAACAAAAACAAACAATTTTCTTTTTTAATTTAAAATAATTATAGAAGCTTTATAAATTAAATATTAAATAAAAATTAATGGTGAAACCTTAAAAGTATTCAACAAAAAATAAAACTAGAATTTCCAAAATCTTTTTTTAATTAAGCGGTGAAAACAAATTTAATTGAATTCAATTGGATAATTAAATGGCGCATAATTTTTTTTCTTTTTTAAGAAATGCTAAGCTTTTATTTAGTTAACTTTAGAACTTCCAAAGGTTTACAAAGTCTTATTGTATTGCTATATATGAATTTAATTTGATCTTTTTATTTTTTTATTTATTCTTTCTATTGTATATTGAAAAATTATATTTAATTCATAAAAGGTTTGTGATAGTTTCAAATACTCATATTAGCTAATTTTTCAAAGTAATCAAATATTGAAGAATGCTTCTAAGCCACACCTAGGGAGTGATTAATTTTAAGATGCATGAGAAATGACCCGAAGACATTTTTATGGTTGAAAAAAAAAAAGTAATTAGATACTCACTTATAACAAAAAAATCAATTATAATTATTTTTTTAAATTTAAAATTTATTGAAAAATAATGTCAAGAGGTTGAATTAGTTAAAAGTTATTTATTTGTTTATTATTCAGATTTAGTAAACAATAATATTTTTTTCTACAAAGTGTGTGTAATATAACTTTTTTGACATCAAACTTAATTTTTTTTCTACTATCAAGATTGTATGGTAGAGTATATATTTATGATAAGGTAAATAATCACATTTTAAATTAATTATTAAGATAAAAAACAGAGTAATGTTTTTTTCCCTTCTGAAATATTGGTTTTTAATTATATTTCTCTTGGTCCTACTCTTATAAAATTAAAATAGTTAATTTTTTTTTTTTTTTGCCCCTTCTGAAAGGCACTCTCCAAAGAAACCCTCTTTCGTACGCTCTATCATCTTCTCCAACCCAAAAGAAACATGCACTGAAGCCCACTTTCTTCACAATCACGCCCCCAAACTCTAACAGGTGGCCGCTGAGTCAACTCAGCGAGTTGGATAGCACAACCCACAAACTCTAACATTCTTTCCCACCTTAACTCAAAACGCCTTTGTGTCGAATCTGTCCACCAGGTATTTGCTATTTGAATTGTTTGTTGTTGCTGCTTTCAATTCATTCATGTACTCTAATCTAGCCAGAGGCCAAGTATTTCCCTTGGCTGTTGGGGTTTCTTTAAAACCCAAACGTCTTAAACCCTGCTCTTTACCATTTGGGTCTCATTATAAACCCTCACTAAACCCTCTATGCGCCCCCTTTACAGCGTTTTCACTTGGGTTTGATCACAAAACCCATGAAGTTTTCAACTTTTTGAGGCCAACAAGAAATAGTAGTGGATTTCAATGCAAGTCCATAGAAATGGGTGGGATAACTAGAGGCAGAAGTATTTCAGGAGGGTTTAGAATTAGAAGTGCTGTGCATTGTTCTGCTAGAGTCTCTAGGTCGTTTTCGCAGAGAGTTGGTGAAGGGAGTGGTGTGGAGAGAGTTGGAAAGTCACTTCCCTGGTTAAATTCTAAGAAAGTCAAGAAAGCAAAAGGATCGGAGAAAGGGGCAAGTGCAAAGAGTAGGCAGTCTTCTTGGGGGGAATCTGTGAAAAGATTGGAGAAAGTCAGTGATGGCACTTCCTGGTTGGAATCGGGGAAAAGGTTAGAGAAAGGGACCATTGCGGAAACTGGCCACTCATCTTGGGAGGAGTCTATGAAAAGGTCAGAAGAAGTAGGGGTTGGAAAAACTGATAGATCTTCTTGGGAGGACTTGGCAGAAAGTGTTTCTGGGAAAAATAAAGAAAGTACAAGGGAAATGATAGGTGTTGTTAAATACAAGCAAGGTGGTTATGGTTACAAGGAATGGGAAGATAGTGTTGAAGGAGGAGGAGGAGGAGAAGAGGAACTGGAGGTTGTTGATGATCCAAGATGGGATAAGATCAAAACTAGGTTCAGAGGAACGATGGGCATGAAAGGCCGGACTGAGAAACCTGAGTTTCAAAGGTGGAATAAGCAGGAGAATTGGGGTAGAAAGACATGGAAAGAGGCTACAGAATCGACTGTTCCTAGGATTGTTGGTGAAGGGGTTTATGGGGTGGGTCCAGTTTTGGCTGCATTATCAGCTGGAAGAAGAGAATTCTATGCATTGTATATTCAAGAAGGGTTGGATTTGAGTGGCAATAATAGGAAGAAGAAGGACAAGAAAGGGTTTGAGAAAGTGATGAGGATGGCTAAGAAAATTGGGTTAAGCACAAAGGAAATTTCAAAGCATGATCTTAATATGATTGTTGATAATCGCCCCCATCAAGGCCTTGTGCTTGATGCATCTCCACTGGAGATGGTGAAAATACAGGAATTAGATGGTGTTTTGCCCGATGAAGAAATGGGTTCCCTTTGGGTAGCCTTGGATGAGGTCACAGATCCCCAGAATCTGGGGGCAATTATCAGATCTGCTTACTTCTTTGGGGCCTCAGGGGTAGTACTATGTGCAAAAAATTCAGCTCCATTGAGTGGAGTTGTGAGCAAAGCAAGTGCAGGTTCACTTGAACTAATGGAACTTAGGTATTGCAAGAATATGATGCAGTTCTTAGTATCATCAGCTGACAATGGATGGCGAGTTCTTGGTGGTTCTGTTTCTTCAAAATCTGTTCCGCTGAATGAGGTTGTGCCTGGTCAACCAACAATCCTTGTTTTGGGCAGCGAGGGCACTGGTTTGAGGCCCTTGGTGGAGAGATCATGTACTCAATTAGTTCGTATCCCTGGAAACATTCCTGTGGATGCAACCGTGGGAGGAGGTGATGAATTGGACAACGAAGTAGCAAATCTTGAGTGCTCGAGTGCAGAGTTCCGTTCCTTTCTGGCCGTGGAGAGCTTGAATGTCAGTGTTGCTGCAGGTGTGCTTCTTCACCATTTAATTGGAAACAAAAATGAGAATCGCCACAGAGGTCATACTTCAATGGTCTTACTTGAATGACTTCTCATAGATTGTTTGCAGTATACTTCCAGCTGAACTTCAGTTGCAGAAATTAGTTGCTTTCTACTCCCCTCTTAGTGTCATATGGGTACTGTAATTGTCTCAGCCTTGTCGAAATTTTTTGTGATAATGGAGTTAGATTGAAAAATTTCTATTCTTTTTTGGCATTTGGGAAACATGCATGGAGAACTCCCACTTTCATATCTCCATTTGCAATAGCAAGACTTTTAGAGGACATGGAATCAAATCCGTTTTATCATGACAATAATCAAATGCTGCGTTGATTGAAGTGTCCATCATTTTGTAGCATCTGAGTGCATACTGCAAAAAATCATGGCACAACAGGCAGAGAACCCTAAAACAAGATTACTTCAATAATCCATGGGCATCATTTCTTTTATCGCATTTGTCATTCTCCTTCTACCAAACTATTTCCCATTGTGTTTTTAAGTTGCTTTGGGTTGAGCAGAATGCGAAGTATTACCTTGTGGGTGCAGTCCCTGTTCTGTTGTCGGTGTTTCATTTTCTCTGATACATTGAGCTTCCGGCAGAACGACAATCAGCTAGCTTATTATGTTGTCAGTGGTGATTCGTGTAGTTTTTGCCTGATCTAGGAGGAATACTGAACATAAACAGAATCAGAACATTAACCTCGTACAAGCTGACGGTGTAAGAGAAGGAACAATATCGGCGTCCCCCATAATGTTGTCTTTGCTTGCCAAGGTTTAAAGGTCATGGTTCATCGGTTTGGGCTTATAATAAAATCAAGCAAATAAAAAACCCATGTCCTCATGGCAGTTCTTACGTTAGTTGTTGCTTTGCAAGTTCAAACCATGAAGGAAAAACACCAGAAAAACCAGAGAGTCACTGTTTTATCCTTTCCTTCAGAGTCACTACAACAATTGTTCAAGATTCATAACTACAGGTGAATGAATAAAAAAGTATATTTTCTTGCAGATTAAAAAGCTGGAGACCACCTTCCTATCTTGCCTTAATGCGTTCAATTAATAGAATCAAATGGAGGAATATGGCACGAACGTAGGACGTAGAGTTGATAACGAAGCTGATTTTGAACAGAGCACTCATGCTTCTTAAGGACAGATTTTAAAAAGAATAATTATGCTAGGTAGAAATCCATCCCATCTCCTCATACATGGCTAGATGTATTTGAAAAGAAAAGCTTGCCATCACATGCCTTCTTCATATCTTCTTGGGCTGGTTTTACAATCATAAAACTAAGAAAAGAGGGTCTTAATTGCAAGTGAGATAGCTCTGCTACACGTTTGATATGCATAGAATATGTAGTCTTGCTTCCAGATGATAAACTGACAAAGAGAAGTAGAGGGGAGGCGCTTCCATTGAAAAACTGGACACACTATATTAAACGAAATAGCTAAAAGGTATTGCAAGTAGAAATAGTGATCAAATTCCATTATAAAATTGTTAAGATTATATCTGATTTGGAAAGATACCAAGTTTGATCAGAGACTGATCCCATGTACAAAAAATAAGCTTCCTCTATATGTGAGTGTCTTATCCTTGGCCCCAACACACCATAGATGACCTTGCAGCTCCAGAAATCCTTTCATCCCTGCTATTTCCCATACGAACTTGAATACTCTCAGGGCCCTGTCTAGCTGCTTCATCCCACTCCAAACCATCTCCTCCTCATCTGAAGTCAAAATCCTTCCCATCCTCAAGTGGAATATATTCTCACCATCACCACCATAAATGCCACCACGCATGTCAACTTCGATGTCCCTAACATGGCCGTAGAGGTAATACAATAAAAGTGTGAACAAACAGCGGGAAGAGTGACCCAACGCATTGGAGAGCTTCTTCTGAACCAGGCTTTCTTGATGTAGAACCTCCTTGTATCCAAGACTTTTATCAATCGGCACATTCTTGATTCGAGACAAACCTTCTTTCATGACTTCAAGCTTCTCCACATGATGAGCTGACCAGTTTTCACTTTTCAAACACCGAATGAGATCATGAAACATCTCAAGAACATCTTCCCATTCAGCACAACTACGAGAACCAACACGTTTAGCAGGTGCAAGCCTCATCCACGAAGTGGAGTCATGATCAACCGAAATGTCCATATCACTTACGAACTTTAAACAGCTTGAAACTATCTGATACCCCATGTTGTTCCCTTTGCCTAAACAATTATAATTCAATAAATCCATCTCTGATTTAAGCTCATTTAGTATCTCCTCCAGCGCACCTCGCCATATCTTATGTTGTGTAACCTGTTCGCATATCTTGAAACGCACTACCTTCCTTTGTTGTGCAGATACATTAAGAAAGTTACTAACTTTCGTAAGTGAATTCACAACCATTGGCCCTCTTTCACTTGCTTTACTAAAACAAACAACTGGGTTCCTACATTTTCCATCTACTAACAATCCATTCACAGTTTCCGTAACTTTTTGCTGAACCGATGGAGACCCAACAAAAAACCTTACAAGTGACTTCAAAGTATGCATCTTGTGCTGAATATACTCATCAACAATAACAGACCCATCATTGACATTCGCTAATCTCCCATCAATCATATCCACATGTTTTAACTGGTGGGTCAATTTTGTTATCGTTGGAAACATCTTCTCATACCATTCAATCGGCAAAACCTCTTCTTCGGTTTCTCCTGATGAGTGATATAACCTCAAATTCAAATGGACAACTCCATTTCTCTTGGATTCAAAGCACTTTGAACCAGTAAGAAACTTTTGTACATGCTTATACACCATAATTAGCTTAGCTAACAAACTCCTCTATCCAATAACAAATAAAACACACAACAGGAACACCAAAAATATTCAGTGCAAAAACAATATTGAATCCTCGCAACTGGGTCTTCAATTTTATCTCCAAAATCAATTCTTTTATCTCGGAAACTTTCTGTGAGACATTTTATCGAACAACTAGTGGACCATAAGTCCAACATAAGAAACAAACGAAAACAAATAGTGAGCTATTGCATGATAAAAAAAAAAAACTAAAAACCAATGCAATTTGCTGCAAAGAAACAGTTTAGAATCGTGAATGAAAAAAAGGAGGAGATTAAGCGCGAAACTGAACTATATTTGCCGTTGCTGTTGTTTTGAATTATATGGGCGCCGTTGAAGATCTTTGTCCAGATTTCTTACATGAAAAATGAGTTATGGCCCATTTTTCATTCCTGGCTTAAAAATTTTGATGGGCCGAAAAGTACCATGATGCCCTAAACGGCACATGTATTGGCCCATGATTTTGATGTGCAATCTGTTGCCGTTTTAACTTTATGAGAATCACTCATGGATCACCCTCTTTAGGTTAATCAATGAGAAAATACACGAGGGGTACGTACTTAATAGTTTCATTCTAAAGTTTATCATTTAGTCTTAGTAATGGTAATATTTTTGTTTTCATCTTTTTAGAAAAATGGATAATTTGAGCATGAAGTCTTACAATATTATTAGTTATACTTCAGAATGATTTAAAAGACAATAATTTTGATGAGCTTGAGATGAACATGTGTGTAATTAAGTTGTGGATCATCTTTTCATCTTAATATTTTTTTTTTTATGAAAAGAAGAAATGTCATAATTAGGGCTTAATTAGTTAGAAAATGTTTCTTACTGAAACTAGACCAAATAATATTTTCTTGAATTATTTATTTGCCAATACGTAAACGTGTGTAAAAGGACAGAAAATTTTATAATATTTTTAGAATAACTATCAATACTTATTTTATAAAAAAGAAAAAAAAACTAAAAGAGAATAAAAAAATAATAGACATAATTGGAGATATTTTTATTACTTTTAATGGGTTAAGATGTGATTTATATATATATATATATTGTTGGATTGTTTTTTAATAAAATAGTTTTTAATAAGATATTAAAAAAAGTATAGTAACGTATACCGTTTCAAAATAGTATACGGTGTGGAGAGTGAAAAAAATAACAAGCTATTTTTTTTATATTGCTTAGAGAGAAAAACTCTTCTTTCAATTTTATTGCTTTTGCTTCCCACTAAAAGCCATATTATCTCTTGGCAAATTTTTCTTTAGGCAAGAGTGGTACTAGTTTATAATAGAGTTTCAAATCTTACAAGTAGTGCAAACTTGTTAAGATACAACAAGGTAACTAAAATTTTTGTATCCTTGGGACGGCTTGCAATACATCTTTGATCCGTTGCATCGGATAAAATTATGCGGACGATGCATAGCATCTTAAAAAGAAACCTAGTTGTGCCTCGAGACAGTCATCTATAAAATTCGATAAAGCTGTTTTGGTGTTTTTCATTCAAAATTTTCGGGTAATATTTTTCTATTTTTCTAACAATTTGAGACAATTCCTACTAGTGGAAAACACTAATATGTTCGGGCATAACTCCATTGGAGTGGGTGATCTTAGCAAAACCTTCGCTTTTGTGGTTCAATTTTTAAAAGATGGAGACAAAATACCTTATTTTATCTTACTCTATTGAATGTGAGTCGTGTCTTAACCGAAAAAATTCCTAAGAAGAAGAAAACTAAAAATATGAGTGATGAAAAGATAGTTCAATGTGAAATAGAAGTTAAGAAATGAGAAAGAGATAGTGATCATTATAAAAATTATTTACTAAATTATCTTCCCGATGAGCTTTATGATTACTATGCCCAAGGATATTTTTTTATTAAGAAGATTTGGAAGGCTCTAGATAAAAAATATGACATCGAAGAAGCTCGGATCTAAAATATATGCTTGCAGATCGTTTTTTCAAGTTTCAAATGAATGAAAAAAATCCTATGATGGATCAAGTCTTTGAACTTTAAATGATTGCACATGACATTCGCCTTGAAGGCATACATGTAGATAAGCAAATGTAAGTTTCAACCATCATTGACAAGTTATCGGGATCTTGGAAAGATTTTGCTAAAGGCTTGAGACATAAACAAAGAAGCTCTCCATCGAAGCTTTTATGACTCATCCGAGGGTTGAAGAAGAAGTAAGAAATTAAGACAAAGCTCGTTGAACTTAACGTTTCAAATGGTACTAAGGTAAATTTTATTATCTCTAATAAAAACTCCTATCACATGCCAAAAGCTAATGGAAAGTTTAATGGTCAATATAAGCTAAAGAAAATTTTTTTTTAAGAAAAAGCCTTATGAAAACCGAGTATCACTCCAACCAATGAAGGAATTATGGATTACGTCCTAAACCACCACCAAATAATGCTAACCATAATAATGCTTATACTTGTTTTATTTGTGGTAAACCCGAGCATATTGCTAAAAATTGTCACCTTTGAAAACGTGAGCTCGTTGCTCAAGCTAACGTTACCGAAGAGCCGATTATGGTTATGATTTTCGAGATTAATATTCTCGAAGGCTCATATGGGTGGTGGATTGATTCGAGAGCTACTTAACATGTCTCTTATGATAAAAACTTGTTCAAGACTTATACAATCTTGGATGAGAAAAAGAAAATAATGCTTAATGATTCTCACATTACCGATGCAAGTAGGAGTTGAAGATGTACTCATAAAATTTATATATGGAAAAGAGATTACTCTCAAAGATGTGTTGCATGTACACGAAATTCATAAGAATTTGGCTTCTAGTTTTCTCTTGAATAAGGTTGGCTTTAAGCAAGTTATTAAGACCGATCAATATGTATTTTTCAAAAAAAGCCTATTTGGTGGAAAAAGGCTATGCTTGTGATGAGATGTTTAAACTTAATATTGAAATGAATAACGAAAGATCCACTTCGTTTACATTGTTTATTGTTTGAATGTTTGACATGGTAGATTATGTCATATAAATTACAAATATGTAAAAAACTTGAGTAATCTTGGTTTAATCCCTAAACTTGAAAATAAGTTTGAAAAATGTGAATCTTGTAGTATGGCTAAAATTTCAAGAAAACCTTTTAAAAGTGTTGATCATAATTCTAAATTATTAGACCCAATACATATTGATATATGTGAGTTTAGTGGTATTCTAACTCATGGTGGTAATCGTTATTTTATAACATTTATTGATGATTTCTTAAAATATTCATGTGTTTTTCTTATGAAGCATAAAAATGAAGCTTTTGAAAAATTTACTAATTTTTTAAAAGAAGTTGAAAATATATTTGGTAAAAAGATCGAAGACTTCGAAGTGACAAAGGTATGTAATATGGCTCTATTAGTTTTCATAATTTTATGCAAGCTAATGGTATTGTGCATGAAGTTACGGCTTCATATTCACCTTCGTCAAATGGTGTAGTCGAAAGGAAGAATGAAACTCTAATTGATCCGGTAAATTCTATGCTTGTTAGTTCTAATGCTTTAAAGAATTTATGGGGTGAAGTCGTTTTATCTACAAATTTTTTTTGAATAGAATTCCTCATAAGATCACATTTTTAACTCCTTATGAATTATGGAAAGGTTATAAGCCAAAATTAGATTTTTTTTTTTTTTTTAAGAATGTGGGGTTGTTTAGCTTTTATTTAGCTTTTAAGAATATGGGGTTCAAAGACCAAAACTTGATAAAAAAAATATTCTACTTGTGCTTTTTTGGGTTATGCTTTGAATAGTAAAGCTTATAAATTTTTTTATTTCGATAATAAAACTATTATTGGATCTTTGGATGTTATTTTTCATGAAAACAAATTCCTTTTAAAGTAGAAAACAATGAGGGTATGATTCTTCAATCAAGTAATGAACCTTCTTCTTCAAGATTTGAAAATGAAAATGATTTTGAACCAAGAAAAAGTAAAAGAGTCGATTTGAAACAAATTTTTGTTTTGATTACTACTTATATAATGTACAAGATAATCCTATTTTTTTAGAACAAGCCTTATCTTCTCATGATGTATTGAAGAGAAGCTATTAATGATGAAATGGGTTCTCTAATTTCAAATGATACTTGGAAGATAGTTGAATGACCTCCCGATTGTAAGATAATTGGATGTAAATGGATACTTAAAAAGAAGTTAAATCTTGATGGGTCTATAGACAAGTTCAAAGCTAGACTAGTAGCCAAAGGTTTTTTGCTTTTTAGAAAAGGATATTGATTTCTTTGATATTTTTTCTCCAGTAGCTAAGGTAATATCTATTATATTGCTTATTGCTATTGCTACTATTCATAACTTATTTATACATCGGAGGGATGTAAAGATAGCTTTTCTAAATGGAGATTTAGAAGAAGAAATATATATGGATCAACTTCGAAGGTTTTATAGCACAAGATGATGTAAATAAGATATGTAAGTTACAAAATTTTTTATATGGTTTAAAACAAGCACCTAGACAATGGCATGAAAAAATTGATGCTTGTTTACTTAATAATGATTTTAAAGTAAATGAAAGTGACAAGTGCATATATTATAAATCCTCCGAGAATGTTCATGTGATTATATGCTTATATGTATATGATCTTTTAATTTTTAATTCAAACATGAAGGTTATTAATAATACTAAATTATTACTTCAAAATAATTTTGATATGAAGGATTTAGGTGAAGTAATTGTCATTCTTGGAATGAGAGTTTTTAGAGTTTCAAGTGGAATATTTATTAATCAATCTCATTATGTTGAGAAGCTTTTGAAAAAATATGATTTTTTAGATAACAAACATATGGGAACTCCTTTTGATACGATCGTATATCTATTTCTAACAAAAAATAATAATGACATTTGCTATCAAAAATAGTATGCTAGTGTTATTGGTAGTCTTAGGTATGCTACAAACCGTACAAGATATGATATTGCTTTTACTATTTATGTACTAGCAAGA